TCTCAAAGATTGGTCTCAGTTTCAGTTATAAAATTGTTGTAAATCTGTATCAAAGCATCTCCAACCTAAAACAGATTACATGAACATAAAAAGGGGTCAGATGTTAACAAATCTGCAAACTCATTACCAAATCATATACATACCTGACCAGTCTTGAAAATGTAGACGAAGTAGTTTCTCTTCATGAGAAGAAGTCTCTTGATATGCATGCAATGAACATAAAACCCAGACACTCAAAGCTCTTGGACGTTTAGTTTGTTTGTTTGTTTGTTTCAGACATGACGACAAAATTAAATCCTTGAGAGTGCATGTAAAGCAAGAAAGCTAAATCAAAACACTGTCTAGAATAAGATTCAAATCTGAAACCTCCAGGATTCTGCGCTTTGTTCACAGCTGCAGCATCATACTTCAAGGCAAGCGTTGTTGACAAGGGAGAGTGGAGCATCGAGAGCCAAAGGAGATCTCTAGCTCGGTGAACGTTAGCCCTGTTAGACCTATCATTGTACAACACTGCGGAAAGAAAGAAAGAAAATACAGTCAGTTGATAACAACTAGTTTCAACATATAACAAACAAAAGAAAGACAATTCTTATCATATACGAGGAAGCATATCTAATGAGCCTCAACCAATGGTGATGTCAAAAACTTCAGATATCTCATTGTAATCTTCAAGATTGTGAGTCTCCCCATCCTTACTGCGGAACAACATCTCCTAGGAAGTGAAGCAACATGTATCTGAGGTATAAAGAAGGAAGTGCCTTATATCCATCACCGAGTCTCCAGGGTTCAACTGAAAAAACAAACAGATTTGCCATATTTAGTAACTCACACCAGATTAATACTATAAAAGAACTACATAGAGAACTAAAAAAGAAATGGAAACGTTACATATATTATTTTCTGAGACATAAAATAGCATATAAAACCAAAGTAAGAAACTTTGAAGTTTGAACTCATTTGCATCTCCATTTTAACGCCACACTGTGTCTTGACAGAAACATAATACAGACAAAGTTCACCTGCGGAAGCAAATCAAAGAATATAAAAAAAAAACTGATACAATATAAACCTACTTTAGATTAAGAGGAAGTTTCCCTTAAGTGTTGAGCTTCTTCAGGAGATAAGCACGAGCTTGTCTTTTTTCACTTAGTGAACCTTAAGAGTCAACTCAGGGAATTTTCTGGTTTCTTCTTCAACGATTCCTCGGTTCCACCTATGGCTCAGGAGTTAACAATACACATCGAGATTCAAGTTAGCCATCAAAAACTAAGGCTCCTTAGTGATACAGCTAAAGTTTGTGAGGAAGATTTGAGATCAAACACAAACCTGAGGGGTTAGAAAGCACAAGTTGGTATAAGGCAGATCTGGTTTTGAGAAATCAAGAGAGGCAATAATGAGGAGAAAGATAACACGAAATTAAGCTATATCTTCACCGCCGTCCTCCTCTTCCTCTGTTTTCTCCGCCTCCGCTACCGAGGAAGAGAAGCTATGCTCTGGCTTTGCCTCTATCAAAACGCAGTCAAATTCAAAACAGAGAGAGTGAAGGATAGATAGAGATACAAAGTGAGAGAGAAAAAAAAAGTCTGACCTCTCCACCGCCGGGTTTCTTCCTCGTCCGACTCAAAAGAAAGAATGAAGCAGAATCTACTAGAGATAATCGGTCAAACAAAGGCATGCACGAGATAAGAACTTCAAACAAATGTCTGTGAAATTAAAAAAAACTTCAAACTGAAGAAACCCCAAATCGGGGGAACCTGAGAAATCGAAGAAAAGAAACCCTAAATCTCTACCTTCGATTGGATTACAAACTTTGATCCTTCTCAAATCGACTTGAGCTGAAGATTATCACCGGTTACAGAGCGCGAGATTGAGCTTTCAAGGAGTTGATCAGTGGGAGATAGGGTTGCCGTGACGAGATAAGGGTTTTTATCGAGAGAGTTCTTCTCTCGTGACTCTTTTTTTTTTTTTACTTTCTAATTCAACACTAATTTTTTTTCCCTTATGTAGCCTAAGTGTTACATTAGAGAGGGAGCTAATTTAGTAATTCGCGGTTCTCAAAATTTCATTGCTTATAGGCGGTATCCGTGTTTGTTTATTCCCGCTTTTGCAAATTGATCACGACAGCATTAAGTTAATGCTATGAATATGTTCCGAAATAGAAAAATCTATCTATCGTAGCAGTTTGAAAATCCATGTTATCTTAGTATGCTATGAATACCCCTTTTTCTTGTAGTGTCACCCTAGTCTGCAGTAAATAGAAGATATAAACTTAGATATTTGACGGATTAAGAAAGATGGAAAGAAAATATTTCGCACAAAACTTATGATTAAGTCGTCTGGAAAGTCTTCCAGCTGGACGACTTAGCAGACGACTTAAAAATAAGTCGTCTGAAAAGTCTTCCAGCTGGATGACTTAGCAAACTACTTATTATTAAGTCGTCTAGGTAGTCTTCCCGGATGACTTAATGATAAGTCCTCTACTAAGTCACCCAGCTGGAAGACTTTACAGACGACTTAATGCTAAGTCCTCTACTAAGTCATCCAGCTGGAAGAGTTTATAGACGACTTAATTATAAGTCATCTACTACGTTGTCCAGTTGGAAGACTTTCCAGACGACTTATTCATAAGTTTTCAAAAAGTCTTTTGGATTGAAGTAAATACATGTCTTTCAATAGCTTCTTTAAACAAACTTCGTCATTTTCCACCCTTGTAAGCCAGTATCGGTGGAGACGGTCTGTTTGGTATGAGATTACCATAAGTAGCACCCAATTCCGGCAGAGATGTGTACAACCAGACCTGGAGAGCCTGTACAAACCCATCAATGGTGTAACAACCCGATATATCTTAGCCCTTCACAGAGTCCATCAACACCTTAAACGCGACTCTCCCCCATGGATAATTCTCAAACCGTTCAAGATCCATCACTAGCCTTACCAGAACAGCCCGTGTAGGGGTTGAAAACTTCCTCCCTTCAATGTATCCAGTGAAGATGGCAAGGTACCCGAGCCGTTTGCGATCATCCGGAGACCACCTTTCGCATCTCTTAAATGCTGCTATTATCTGATCAGTAGTTGGCCCAGCTTCGATATTAACTCCCAACAACTCTTAGAAAGAAGCCAACTCCTTTCTAACAGAACTGTTTGGTCTCTCAAGGTCCTCGATGTACTCGCAGTTTAGACCAGTGAGCTATTCAAACTCTAACAGTGAAAACCTCAAAGTTTGTGGACCAACAATACTCCACAGCTCATACTTCTTCTTTATGTCGAGTTGTAAACCGAGCATGTAGTGAACCAGCCTTAAAGCCCATGAAAATTCCATCCCAACTTAGACTCCTTCAGCTCTTCATATTCGTCATCATTAAGAGCATTCCTTAAAGCATTATACAAATTTGTACACGGATGATACGAAATGCTATGCAATGGGGGGCTTTTGCCCTACTGTATAAATCCGTCGGGGGAGTTCTGGAATATCCATTTTTTTTCTACAAAACAATCAAAGACAACATTCTCAAACACATAACCATCCAGGTGGAAGACTTTCCAGACGACTTGATTATAAGTCTATCAAGACTTCCAGTAGAACATTGGAAAGCTGACCTGAAAATTCGGAGAAGATATTGTCGCCTTCGACCCAGCGGTTATAGATATGAAAAAATAGACGTGAAAAAAAAGAAGCACGATGGTGAGAACAATGTTTTAAGTTCTTCTTTAGATATAACTTACCGGCGGCAGAGTTCAACGAAACGCCTCTAAGAAAAACGGTGCTAGGGTTTACAGACAAAACGGCGCTAGGGTTTCCTTTCAGATCTGAAATAGAGGAAGCAGCGGTGAGAACGGTGGTGATAACGACGGTGGTAAGACGGAGAGAAAACCGGCGTTGAGAATGATGGATTAGAGAGATTCTCGACGGAAATAGCCTTTGAAATCACCTTTGAGAGAAACGGCGTTAGGGTTTTCTGAATTTCGCGAAAAAGTGAGTAAAAAAAAGATCATATATATGTCTGGTAAAAAAATTGGTTAGGTTTAAAAGTAAATTGGTAAAATCAAAGGTTCGGTCCGGTTTGGATGACTTATTATTATGTCGTCTGTTGATACTATACATCAGACGACTTACTAGTAAGTCGTCTGCCTTAACTTTATTTATCAGACGAGTTAATAGTAAGTCGTCTAGACCCTAAACCCTAAACCCTAAACTAAATTGACTAAATTAACTAACTAACCACGTTATAAAATCAAATTATACTTAAATAATGTTTACTATACACAAAAAATAAACACACTTAGGTAAATGTTAAATTTTTCAAAAAAACTTTTATGCTTTTGAAAATCTAACCCTAAGAAACACATACAATACTAGAACATATGTTGGCAAAACCTTAACCAAACAATATCATGACTCATTACTTTCACTCATCTATGTTGAAAATAATTAAATTTTGTTATATCTTAATTTATATCTCTCAAAACATATTTTAATTACATGATTTCAATTTTCATTCATCTAAATATTTTTTACAAAAATTTTAAATTATTTTTAAGAATAACTATACTAGACGACTTTCAAATAAGTCATCCAGACGACTTAATTGAAAGTCGTCTGGATAGAATAATTACGGAGGTTAGAAACATAAAAGAAAATTTGAATTTTTTATCTGTTCATAAGGAACTGGTTGTAATTTTAATAACATTTTAAATTACTTTTACATTTGACTAATGTTTGAGTTTAATTTTACATTTGAAACCAAGTTTTGAGTCATATTTGTCAAATTTCTCATGTGTTTTATTTCTCATCTTAAACACATGTCATGTGTTAATTAATTATATAATAACATAAGATGTGCCTAGGGGCCCTCTAGACGTAAGCACGCCAATTGTGATGGCATCGAACAGGTAATTTTGTATAATTCTTCAAAAATAACAATATAAATAATGAACGATCTAAATGAATATACTACGTATATATATGAATGTATAAAACTCCATAAATGAACAATATTTAAAAAAAAAATGAAACTCACTATACAAAGCTTGGATGCTCCCTGCAAGTAAAACACACTCTTCATCTTCTTAAACATTCCAGTAGATTCCACTAGAGCTTCTTTGGCAGATTATATGTCTTCTTAAGAAACCTCGTCGCAGATTCATCGTTACGATAACACAGAACACGCAAAAGCGTATTTGGTTCCATACCACTCCATTGGCCTGAGGTTGGAGGCAACGGAAGCCTAGACTTAGCTGAAGAACCGTAAGCTTCAAGCGTCATCCCCTTGAACCTATCTATTAAACTATCTGTGTCTGTACTAAACAGAGGAAGCACGCCTCTAACCGTGGTCGAGAACTTATCGATCAAGTCCATGGCAAGCCCGTCTCCGTTAGCCCAGAACAAATCTTTCATAGATTTAAAATCTTCTTCCATTGCCTGAGAATCTTGTATCGTAAACGCCCTGGAGGGTCCTCCAGCCAGTAGGACGAGTAAAAAGCCATCGAAAGAAGCTCTCATAATATCGGTAATGATGCGTGTACGGACTCTTTCATGTACTGTCTCTGCAATGACTGTCAAATTATGTTCCAGCTCCTTGAGGAAAGGGTCGATTCTAGAGGACAAGAGCTCACCGATGTATAGCCCGTCCCATAATGCATGGCTTAAGTCATGGAAGACGACCTTATAAGCCAGAGATTCAGATAGCTGTTGAACACCTTCGATGCAAGCCGCTGGTGTGACCTCAAACTTTTTCCCTAAGCCGTTGGAGAAGTCGTCGGTGTGAGCTGACTCACAGTTCCTCAAATGTGTGATCATTCTCTTTTCCACAACGTCGAGCTCGCTGCGGATTTTGTGCAAGCTGTTTATTCTGACGCATATCTGCGTGACTCCAAAGGAACTCTCTCCATTCGCAATCGTAACCTGAGAGTTTCTCTTTTGAGGAGGAACTGCCTTTTCCTTCTTCTTCCAAACACCTTGGAATTTCGACCCCGTTGTACAACGTGTGAGTGCAGGCATTGTCGGCATGTACGTAGTGCGGGAACCTGATCATACCCATAAGATGTCAGAAATCAAAATTACAGGTTCTCTCTTTTTAAGATCCAACGGATATAATTCATATGTAGCAAACTTACCACAGCCGGATTTAGCCTTTGAGACATAATACTGAAGATATTTGTCTAAACCAATGATTAAATCAGGTAATACAGCAGGATGCATGGGTATGGGAAGCTGAAAAAACGCTTCCAAAGTTTCATCAGTAATCCGCAACACTTCGGCAGCTGATTGTGCATATCCTCCTTCTTGGTTCTCCAGCGGATTCCAAACCTGGAAAACAAAATACAGTTTGAAGATCAATCAAACCAAATTAAACTAAAACTTAATGATTATGTTTGCGTTACTAACCTCTTGCTGTAAATTCCTGTCAACCCATTCCTTTAGTCTGTCTATTCTTGCTTTGATCCAGTCTTTAACCAAATTAGCAATAACGGTCTCAGCTTCAAAAGGAGGCATTTCACGGATAATTGCTTTGCCGCCATCATCACTGTCAACAGAATCCTCTACTGCGATTTGCACAAGATCTTTTTCTAGCTTATCTGCAGCTCTTAATATCTGGACAGCATCAGGTGTCAATTCAGTTATTCCTGATATAAACTGTTTAATCTCGTTTCCGTAACAAACATGGAGAGTAGCCACAGCAACTCCTGCAGCAAACGGATGCCATCTCTTCCATATCGGACTAAACATTCGCTTCTCCTGAACAGCTAGCTCACCAATGTCTTTAGCAAGGATGGCGAGAACAGGAAGAGGGTTCTTCTGGTTCCTTGATGCTCTCCTGCTAGAATCTGCTTTCTCCATTCTCTACATAGACAAACAACAAATAATCAAATAAGTTCATACAATTGCTGGAGCCGCTCCTAAAAGATAATGCAGATACTTGCCTGAGCAAAAGCAGTTCGTAGTGACGACCTAATGTATGTTTCGATTCTTGTACGAGCAACATCAACTTCTCCTTTCCTCCTTCGACGATACTCGTTAGATATATCCTCAACTAATATCCTGGCTGCTGATACACCTAAAGAAACAATTCCCTCCATGGTACCAACATTACTTCTGTCAAAAGTGTCATGGTATGCAAGTAGCCTTTTCTCTGCCCAACCTAATATAGCACTTAGCGTAGCACTTAAAACTTGGGAGTACTCAGGATCCTTTGTTGTCTTTGCATCTTTAGAAACTTCCGCAAGTTGAGATTCACAAGCGTAGAGCAGGTCCATCTCAACTTGTCCAGTCACAACATAGCGAGAAAACAAAAGCCAGGTGAAACAGAGGTTATGCAGCATTTGGCTGATTCCAAGAATCACCCAAGTCTTCTTTATGTGCTCCATAAGGTCGTCAACTTCCTCCACCATGCACGCGGCGTGGCTAGAATCAAAGCACGCTTCCAAAAGAAGTTGATAGAGCCTGAGATTGAAGGGAGAGCCATCAGCCCAGTGGGAAGAGTCAGAGAAAGAGCCATCAGATCTAGTGGCTAGAGACATGACGGCTGATCGAAGACTTTGCATCTGCTCATTGTTCCTTCCCGTCTCTAAAGGCCGGTCCAGAGCTTCATGGATAATCTGTCGCAGCCGTTGAGAAGAATTGGTCTTGTCAAGTGGTACACGAGGGTGCAAAAGAAGACCTGCCTCAAGAACCTTGAGTGATCTCTTCACCCAAGCATCGTACTCTTTCTCATCTGTAAAATCAGAAGACTTTAGCTGCTGCAACAATTCTAACGGAAGAACCACCGATTCTATCTTCCTTCCAACCTGAATAGGAAAAAAATTAAAAGAAAATAACAAGAACTTTAACTCTCTAAAAGAAGAAAATAGAATCACACTAAATTCAAACAACTCAAGATCATACTTAATGGCATCAGTAATATTCAACTAATATCAAGCGAATAAACAAATGAAACCGAACGTCAAATCCCACCAATGGTGTAAGCTAAGTGAAATTGAGGTAACCTGAGTAGCAGCAATCCTTAGAAAAGCTCTACGAACACGCGAATCGACAGACTCCGAAACTCCCATTTGGATCCGCATGAGCTCGCCGACAGTAGCGGGACGCTTCGACTTACCACCCGAACCGGAACCCGAACCGGAACCAGGGCTCTTGGTAGATCCAGGCGATAAGGAGGACAAGGACTTCATCCCCAAGGCTTTCTTCATCTTACTCGCGGCGGCTGCGGTCAGAGAACGCTGGACTGCTGGAGAAGCGGGAGAGACGCCGTTGCTCGGAGATTCCGGATTAGAAACGGCCACTGATGAGAGAGGCTTCCCGGTGGCGCTACGGTTTGATGCGACGAAAATCTCGTAGGCAATTTGGCGGAGATCGGATTGGGAAAACTCAACGGCGAGTTGGCCGAGTGGAGACGGTGGTAGATCGGAAGGTATAGTGGAGGCCATTGAAGAGGAGCGTGAAGTTTCCGGCGTTGTCTCTCTCTTGGAGTGACCCAGAGACAGCTCTCTGAAGAGGTGAGCCATTTGCGTGTGAGTGCAGCCAAAAAGAACAAAAGATACAGCTTTTTTTAAAACTGTTACCGGAAAAAGAAGAAAATGGCATTATTGTAATTATGTTCAATTATTTGTTTTCGTTACATTATTTTAAAGAAATTACAATGCGTTTGTTACTCAAAAATTACCATGAGTAGAGCTATTAAAGTCAACGATTTAAAAAGAAAAATTAATTATTCGCCTATAACGATAACACATAAAAGGATTTGACTACCCATATTAATAGTACACTAGGTAATTTTCATGTGTTCATGCACGGATATGAATATTCATAAAAGTAAAATATTATAATAAGTGATTGATATTTAGTTTTAGCTTTGAATAAATTTATATGTATAATTTATATTAATAAATATTATATTATTCTAATTATACATATCACTATGGATCTATTATTGTCGGTTTAATTATTTTTTGGATCAATAGTCATTATGGTTATCAATTTGGTATATTGGATAATATCTATTTTTAGAATTCAACTATAATATTTTTATTCTAAATATAATAAAACTTTGATTAATTTTCTTATTTTCATTTCGGTTGGTTATTGTCTTAGATATGTAAATATATTATAGTTAAATTATGTATAACTTAATATATATTGTGCTTATGATGAAATAAATAATAAACTGAAGTGTTTGATTCAAAATTACATAAATGAATATAATTATATTATTTTGAAGTCTCATGCATATATATAAATTCTACAAAAAAAATAAATTGTAACTGGTAATTTTTGAATATTCATGAACATATATATTTTTATTATTTTGAATATATATTTTATAAAAATATATATTAATGGGGGTATTACTATTTTGTGAACTTTCCTTTTTTAACAAAGTCATATTATATACATATATTTTCGTTTTAAAATTTGTTTTAAAATTTTAGAAATATTTCCTTTTTATTATATATATTTTTTTGGAAAAAAGTAAAAAAGGAAACTAAATAAAAAATTAATAATAATCTTAAAATCTAACAATTCATTAAGTGTATCTATGTAATCAACCATCGCGAGAGTTAACGTGAGCGCGACACGTAGGAAACTGACTTCTCAAATAATATTATAGAGATACTTAAATCTCTATATTAATTAAGAATCATTTAAAATTTTATAACTTTAATTTTGTATTAATTAAAAATAACTTCGATCTTTATCTTCTATTTCAATTTGTAAGAATTCTAGAGCATCTTATATAAACTATAGTCCAAATATTTATGTTCTCTAGCAATATAATATTTCGCAAACTATAGTTGATCGCATATATTATATTAAATATTTATTCTTCCGCGGACTTTCCTTAAATAAAACCAACGGAATTACCTAATGTGATTAAAATATATATATAGTTGGAATTAATGATTTTAAACAATAAAGATTTGATAACAATCTGTATATTTTTTATCATTTTTTATTTCTTTCTCGTTAAAATAAATTACACAATTACATTAATCATATAATAAAAATCTAGATTTTTTGCGTATGTTGTATTTCAAATTTTTAAAAACGAATATAAATTACTAAAACTGTTAAAAATCTCAAATAAACTTTTATGATCAAGGTTTAAATGTTTTTCTATATTAAGATATAACTATCATAAAACCTTATGAAGAAATAATTTTATTTTAATAGGTTTTATGTTAATATATATATTTCATATCACTTAAATTAAACTATACATCGTATGAAAATACATATATTTTGATATTTGCATTAAATATACATTGAAAAATTAATATTTTAATTTTAAAAGCTGTCATTTTTTAAAATGATTATAAATTATTGAAACTACTAAACATCTCACATTAAAAAAAACCGTTGGTGTAATTTTTTGTTAAATATCCATATTAAAAGTATGCTATTTATCTATATTAATATCATTTAAATTTAATTATATATCATATAGGATAGATAAAATTGAATATTTTGATTTATTTACCCTAATTGCGAATAAACAAAAGTGATCGATAGATTTATATGCACACACCAATTTATTACATAATAATAACAGATTTCTTAGTTATTTAATATATATACTTATTATTTTATTATTCATAATATGCATAATAGCATAAAATAATAAAAATATATATTCTGCAAAAAAGTGCAGATCTTAACCTAAGTAGATATCTCTTTAATTATTTTAAAATTTAAGCATTTTCCAAATTTCAGGCCAAAACAAACAAACGAAATGAGAATAAACTCCAAAATAAATATATATATCGAGCAATAACCAAAATGAAAAAGACACAAAAAGAGAAAAATATTTATATATGATTGGCACGTGAACGTAAACTTTTCATAACCATAATTAATTTTTAAATTGCTAAATCATGAAATAAAATCGAGCTGACATAGTTTCATTGTAACCAAATAGGTCCGAGATTTTTGACCTAAACATTAGGTTCTTTGCAGTAAGTGATATTTTGACCTAAAATATTTTTAAAAATGAGATCAGTTCATTAGTAAACAAATTATGTAATTAAGAAAAAATGAATTGTTGAAAGACCAAAATATTAACTTAATCAATAATACATAATTATTTTTAAGTAATTTTTATATAAATTTATCCTGCGCAAGGCGCAGATCTTATCTTAGTATAAAATATTTGATAATGTAGAAATCGGATAGTTAGTTTGTCCATTTGTTTGGCCTAAGAAATAAGTTTGATAATAGATATAAAATTTAACCTTAAATTTCATTATAAATGTTGTGCAGTTGATCAGGTCTAAGAACATTTCCAACATAAAATTCTATTTTTTTAAAAGAAAATTGAGAACATTTCCAACGTAAAATTTTATTTTTTTAAAGAAAATTGAGTAACTACATAAATGACTGAATTTAAATTGGAGTGAGAACAGAGCAGTTAACAAAAAAAAAATACATTACTTTATCATTGAATAGAAAATGAATAGGATTCGAGCATTTATTAATCTAAAGCTTTTTATAATAAAAATAAATGAAATTGGAGATATTCCAAATTTATAATCTTTTATAGGTAAAACATAGCGTTAATTCTTTTTTGAAAAATGATAAATACTTTGTATGCAAGAAAATATTAAATAATTAGAAAGAGAAAAGTTGTATAATATAGGATAATAGTAAACAAAAACAATTTTATTCCTTAGAATATAAGTGGTTTTTTTGTAGCTTCGGTATTTTATTGATGATAAAAATTAACCTTATATTATTGTTATGGTAAAAGAGTTATCAATTAATAATTTCACATAGCTGAAGGTCTACAAATGTGGAAGTCTATTTAATTTGAGATTAATCATCTTCTTTTTGAATAGTTCCAGGCATGCATGTTTGGGTTTTATCGAACTATAAGTCTCTTTCGGATGACTTTTTGAATACATTTATATATCAATACATGAATTTATGTTTTGTGAGAGAAAAGAAATGGTTCCATTTAGACTATAATTTGATATCTTCACATGGATCTGTACAATAGAATCTCTATAAATTAATAATGTCATATCTTTGAAAGTTATTAATTTATGAAGATTTTTTTATTTAGTTTTTTATTTTAAGATATATTTATTCTAAAATAAGAAAATATTTGATTTTAGTATATAGACATTAATTTTTTTTTTTAATTTGACATTTATATTAATTTTATTGTATTATTTGGTGTACATAGTATATATTTTATAGAATTTAAATGTGTTTTTAAATATAATATTACTAGATCTCATTAAAAATATGTTAAGTGTTAAGAAACTATAAAAATAATTTCATTGTAAATATAAAAAAACATATGATAAGTTCTTACTTATATAAAATATGTATACATATAAATTATTAATTTATCATTTATAGATATTGTTTTCTAACAATTATTATCTTATTATTTTATCGATTTTTGTTAAATTTAACTGTTCCCAAATTTAACCGTTCCAAGTTGGGACCGGTGAAATTTATTAATTTATAGAATTTATTAATGTATCGAATATTAATTTATAGAGGTTATACTGTACATACTTATATAAATTATTGATAATGTAGAAATCAACTAGTTAGTTTGTCCATTGTTTTATTTTTTTCCTATGAAATAAGTTTGAAATAGATATAAAATCTAATCTTAAATTTTATAATAAGTGTTGTGTAGCTGATCAGCTCTAAGAACATTTTCCAATGGAAAATCCTATTTTTCAAAAAAAATTAAGTAACTCCATAAATGATTGAATTTTGGAGTGAGAATAGAACAATAAACAAAGAAAATGCATTACTTTATCATGAGTAGACAATTGAATTGGATTCGAGCATTTATTAATCTAAAATTGTGTTATAATTAAAAATAGAGTGAAGTTGGAGATATCCTAAATTTATATCTTTTATAGGTAAAACATAATGTTAATATTTTTTCACAAATGATAAATACTTTGTATGCAGAAAATATTAAATAATTAGAAAGAGAAAAGTTTTATAATATTAGATAATAGTAAACAAAAATACAATTTTATTCCTTAGAATATAAGTGCTTTTTTGTAGCTTTTGTACTTTATTGATGATAAAAGTTTACCTTATATTATTGTTATGGTAAAAGAGTTATCAATTAATATTTTCACATAGCTAAAGGTCTACAAATGTGGAAGTCTATTTAGTCTTGAGATTCAACTAGAAATTAATTAATATTTTACACCAGAAAATCTGAATTCAAAATTTTTAAAATTATAAATTAGTGCATATTATGGAGAGTTGCAAGAGGTCTTAGAATAGTGCAAAAATAATATCAAAAGTGAATATCATAGGACAGCTAAAGATAGTGCAATTAGAAGTAAATTCTCATAGAACAAGTAAAATAATCAGTTGTAGAATAATATACAATATTTTGTATATATTGTAATAACATAATTATCCAGAACCTTGAAAAATAAAAATCCTAAATCAGATAAATCAATACCATTAAAATGAGATCATTCACTTTAATGAGTTTTTTACGTTTTTCAAAATTACCGTTAATGATATGAACAAATTTTTATTTTCATTAATGATAATATAATCTTTTGGTTTTTGGCCTAAAAACAATATAATAATGGGTTTTATGAATGGGCTAAATTCACCTTCTAATTATTTATAATGTTTCTTTCAAAAATAAACACATCAGCCTTAGTTGGCGTAATTAGAGCTTGGAATTTTGATATTAGCTCGCGGGTTGACCCGCCACGAAACAGGTCGATCGATTGAAAAATTCAAATTGCGGGTGCGGGTAAAATGTATTTTACACGGGATGGATGCGGGTTGTTATAATTTCAATTGCGGATACTTGGTAATCCGCAAAAAAAAAAAAAAATTTAAGTTTATTTTTCAAAAATATACTAAATTTGGTTAAAATATTTTTTTTTAATATTAAAACTTTAATTCAAAATATACTATTTAATATTATTTTCATAAAAAATTAAAAATAATTATTTTTCTTTTTTTAATAATTATATGCAGATCTCGCATATTACCCGCAAAATTAAGTGGGATGGATGCGAATAAAATATATTTTCTTTACGGATCAGGCAGGTCGGGTGGGGCGAGTTTGACCCGTTTTTCAACACAAACTGTAGTTAACTGATATTATTTTTCCAAAATAAAACTACACACATACAATACATTTACATAGATATTTATAATAACAATAAATTAAAATCTACATTAATTTTTTAAAGTTATATTAGATAGTGACATTTTATATCATCAAAGCAAAAGACTCTGTAGATAAAACAACAAAAAAGTACCCATGCATCTCTGTATATAAAACATCAAAAATAGTATCTACGCTTTTTAAGCGTGAATTAAAAATCTAGTAAATTTGATTATAATAAAAATATAGCATTCATAAGTGAATGATTGAAATATAAGAATAAAAAGCTGGAGGCGAACAGATTGGAGACAGTTTCACGCTCATGTCTCATGATTCTCTTTTTGAGGACAAATATTCATATTTTAACATTTTCCTGTAGAAAACTATTAGGTAGTATTTAGACGATTTATATTAAAATAATAAATTTACTGTTATTCAAATATAAATTTTAAAAGTTTATTTAAAATCTATTATTATTGAATTGACTTGTTGCTCAAAAGAGATTGTCACGATCGATCATCGACAGAGCATTTTCAGGACCAAAAATCAACTTTCGCAGGAAAGGTTCACGTAGAACTAGACTTATGTGGGATGGGACAAATTTGATCATGCGGGAAGAAATGGGCATGTGACTCTCATTTCATCTCTTCACTATCTACATGAAAAAACAATGTACAAACCATGTAAAGCTTCAGCAATGACGATTCAAATTATGATAATGGTTCCAGTCTTCATTTCGTCTTCATTCTGCACAAGAGGATTTCACCTAGAGAAGCAATGAACTTTGGTGATGGCAACTTCCACCAACAAAATCCTTGGACCTCCAGCGATGACAATTCGATCTTAGATGTTCTACCTTTCTTCCCTTTGTCTTTGTTCTCTAGGCATGTGACAAAACTAGGTATACAACTCACATTCTTTCTTTCCTTTTGAGTCTCTAATAACTTATAGTGTAATAAAAAAATAAAAAAATGACCCTTTGTATAAATCACTATTTACTATTTACCATTTTTCCATTTTCATGTTGTTCATCTTTGACTATTTTAATTTCACAAATTAAACTACACATTTTGAATATTCTATTTGCAGCTAAAATAAAACCCAAATAAATTTGACAACTAATTACAAAGATACAACTTTAATAAACAGAAAAATAAAGCCGATGAGAAATCAAATCACAAAAAAAAAGAACATGTTAAACGAAATCACAGGAGATCCAAAAATAAAATTACTATCTTTCTTAGCTTTACAATTTTCTTCTTTTTGGTAAAATTGAAAACTACTATCAAATTTTTGGTAAAATTGAAATTTTTTCCTCCCCACCCCCAACTTCAGCAATCATAGACACATTTTTTGGGCTTCTTTTTTTTTTTTGTCAGTTGCTATGTGTGTTCATCATATTGATTTTGAAAGGAAAATGATAACATGTCATACAAAAATGATGACATGATTTGAATTTAATTGTGTCATGGACATGGACATTTACTTTAAATATTAATTTTTATTTTGGTAAGTTTTTCTAATATGATAATAACTCATACATCATCAATAACATAATAATAAATAACATAATAGTAGAAATATAAATATAATTTACATTTTTGAAATATTAATTAAACCTATTTTAATAGTTTATAATTTTTATTACTAAAAAAATATTGAAAATTTTAATCATTGTTTTTATATAAAATGTAATATTCTAATCCTATTATTATTAGTTTCTTTTATATCTACAAATTCCTTAATATTCTTCAGTTTTTTCATTTTGATAATTATATATCTAACACAAATTTCTCTTAACTTTATATAATTTATTTAATATATTTTTATTCAAAAGAAATAGATAAAAATATTTCCAAGATTTTAACTTTAAATATATACATATATATATATATATTGGTTAAAAATATACATATATATTACTAAAATATTAATATAAATTATTTATTTTATCTTAATTTTTACATATAATTAAACTAAATTTTAACCTGATAAAAATAGAAAATTAATGTTAGATATTGTTAAAAAATTATAATGAAAGATATACAATTTTTATTTAAAAGATAGAACTTTTTGTTTCTAAACGGAGAAAAGCATCTAGTCTTCAAAAGAAATAGTCAGTGGAAATGTTGAACGAGTAAGCGTATAAGAGGTGGTGGCGGTCGATGCTTGCAGACCCATATCTCGATCCTAAAACTAGATTTGCTTACGATGATAAAGTTTTGGGATAAGATTAAAGTTTTAAACGGACGACGATAACGTACGGACAAAAAAAGGTAATGTTAATGGTAGATGAGCTTTCAAGATTTCTAAACTTTCTAGGTTCTTTTATTTTTTTATTTATTACAAAACCGGGTTGTCACGCACTTTCGTTGTAGAAATTTTATTAAATTGTGATTAACGTTAATATGATATGTTATCTCGAACGATCTTCTCCTTGTATCTAATTGGGACCCACTCTCCTATCTCTTTTTTCCCCTTTCTTCTCCTATCCTCTCTCTCTCTCGCTCGCTCACAACTCACAAGTCATCTCCCTTCAATTCCCACCCGAAACTAGCTTTCCCACGAAAGAGCTTCCGTCTTTCTTTTTTTTTGTGTTGTTGTTGTGTTTCTGAGTCTGTGCTAGTTTCTGGGCCTTTTATTTTCTGATTACTCGGTGTCAAAGTTTTCGGCGAGATCTGATCGTAGCCGGTGGTTAGTAAGTAGTTGACTGTTTTCTAATTCTAGGTCAAAATTATTGGGAGATTAGGTGGGGCTTTTGTGTGAATTTTGAGATTATTAGGGTTTGTGATGAAGAGAGGAAAGGATGAAGAGAAGATATTGGAACCCATGTTTCCTCGGCTTCATGTGAACGATGCAGTCAAAGGAGGGCCTAGAGCGCCTCCAAGAAACAAGATGGCTCTCTATGAGCAACTTAGCATCCCTTCTCAGAGGTTTACTGATCGTGGCTCCTTTCCCCGTAACACGGTTCCTCCTGGACCATCTAACCAGGTATTCTTTTGAGTTTTTCCACTCATTTTTGTATGCAATTGACCTCTCTTACTACAATTCATAGTTTATTGGACATAAGTGGTCTATTCTAGCGTTAAGGGTTTATCTTTAGTAGCTCTACCATTCTTGTTGTGCTTTGGAAGATTATTTATTTTCTGAAGTTTCATGAATGCTTCCTGTGATTGGGTATAACATCCTGTGGGAAATAAAACCTTTTTCTTGCAGCCTTGTGACGTGGAAAGAAACTTATCTGCGCAACATATTGATTCTTCGTCTACGGGCCAAGCAACAGATAACTTTGTCTCGCAAATGCCCTTCATGGAAAATGTGCGGACTTCGGCACAGAACGATCAGAGGAAAATAGCCAGAGAGGAAGATGATTTCGCAGTTCCAGTATTTATTAACTCAAGAAGATCTCAGTGTCATGGCAGTAGCATTGAGAAGGAAATACACACCACGTTGGTTAAAGACCAGGTCAAGGGGAGCACAAAACGAGGTGGCTTTGTTAACTCTTCAGGTGTATCAGCTTCAGAGGAAATGGATCTTGAGAAAACAGCATCGAGTAGTGACAGAGTAAATGATCGTAGTGCATCCTTGAGGCAAGAGTCCAGAAATAGGCCTGACCGAGATGATCGCGAAACACAAGTGCTGGACAGCAATAACATGGCGTCGGAGTGTCATTCAGAAGAAGAAGGTCATGGTAATCCTAATGATGTTGATAATGGTCCTGAGTACCGCAGAAGTGCAGGATATACCTCTATGCAACAGATAGATGAAGAGGCAAGTGATGATGTTTCTGATAATTCGATGGTGGATTCTGTATCCAGCATAGATGTCTCTCCTGACGACGTTGTGGGAGTATTAGGTCAAAAACGTTTCTGGAGAGCAAGGAAAGCTATTGCCAAGTAAGTTCATTAGATTTCGGTCAAGTTGGTTATTAATACATCCGTTTCTTTGATTGCACCATTTAATTGCTTGCAAGGAACCTCCGCTCTTTCGTGTTTTTACTTTGCGAAATGATGGTTCTATAGTTGAGAGGCCCCTGATTCCTCCCAAAATGGTCCGATTATATATGGTAGTTAAAAGACACTTCTGCAACATATTTAACGCATTTAAAACATTGGATCATGTTAGCAGGGAGGGACATTATCTGTTGACGTACATAGTGCAAGGTGCCTGCCGAGACAGTTCATGGATATATGTACTGTGTCTTCTTAGCATCTACTTGTTGGAACATGTCCCTGTCTCGGTTTGGTATTGCTTTTATTCTGCACTGTCTTCTTGGCATTTCCCCTTCTTGTCACTCAAGGGGTTGAACCAGGTAGGGGAACATGCTTCTGAGGACCCCCGGGATCTAAATTTTAGTGTTAACCATACATAAAACTAGTTATGAGTCTTATGAAAATGCAGAATCATAGTTACTTATTACTGCTTAAGGGGATCCTTAGGGTGATTGTGAACCACGGAAGTTCAATCGATATTAAACTCCATATTCGAGTTTTAACTAAGTTCTAGTTATTCTTATACCTATGGTAAGGACCGAGAAAAGTTACGAGAAAAGTTGCGGTAAGCTAGATATCAGTAAACTCATCCTTGCATAACTTGTCTTTTCTTTTTCTTGAATTCTTTGTTAACAGTTTTATGATAACGTATGCTTCTTATGTGCATCTTTGGACGCATTGATTTTGCTTTATATCCTTCTTGATTAGACATGCTTCTTCTTTTGCATCTTGTTTTCGATTCGATTGTCCAATCAGCTGTTCAACAGAAACTATATCATCTTGTTGATGTGACTCTCTTTCTCCTTACAGTCAACAAAGAGTATTTGCTGTTCAACTGTTTGAGTTGCACAGACTGATTAAGGTAAACTCATTCATAAATGTTTTTCATATGTTTCCATGAATGTTTTTTTTTTTTTTTACAAACGTATTCAGCTTGTACTTTGTTATCGTAATAATCAGGTTCAAAGACTTATTGCTGCATCACCGGATGTCTTGCTGGATGACATAAGTTATCTTGGAAAAGTTGCTGCTAAAAGCTATCCAGTGAAGAAGCTTCTTCCATCAGGGTTTATAGTGAAGCCTCCTCTACCACAGATCAAACACAGAAGCAGCGATTCGGAGAAGACTGACCAACATAAAATGGAATGCTCAGCTGAGAACGTAGTCGGGAAGTTGCCAAACCAAGGTCATCATCAACCTTCCAACTACATGCCTTTTGCGACCAACCAACCCACTGCTTCACCAGCTGTAAATGGATGTTACTATCCTCCTCAGCCTCCTCCTCCATCGGGAGGAAACCAGCAATGGTTGATCCCTGTAATGTCTCCTTCCGAAGGGCTGATATACAAGCCGCACCCAGGCCCGGGACATACAGGGCCGGTTTGTGGAGGGTACTATGGTCATTTCATGCCTGCACCGATGGTCATGGGTAATTTCATGGGTGGTGGTCCTCCTCCGCCGTTTCACCCGGGCATGGGATTCACATCTCATGGTAATGGCTACTTTCCACCATATGGTATCATGCCTACCATGATGAACCCTTACTATTCCGGACAACAACAACCCAATGAGCAAATGAACCAGTTTGGGCATCCCGGCAATTTTCAGGACGCGTCGGCTTTGAACAACACCCAACAACAGAGCTCCGTGAATAAAGCGGCTTCACAACAACAACAGCCAATGAAATCTTATCCTCGGGCTAGAAAGAACAGGCAAGGGAGCACAGGAAGTAGTAGTCCAAGTTCTCCAGAGGGAGTCTCTGGTAAGAACTCTTTTCGGCCATTCTCAGCGGTTAATGATGACAACAAAGCACCTGAGGAAATGATGACGACAACCACAACAACAACAACAACTGTTACTCAGACGACAAGAGATGGAGCAGGAGTGACGAGAGTGATCAAGGTGGTTCCGCACAACGCAAATCTGGCGAGTGAGAACGCTGCAAGGATTTTCCGGTCAATACAGGAAGAGCGTAAACAGTACGACGCTTTCGCTGACTACCCTTAAGCCTCTGTTTTCTGTATCATTATAGTATGAACTGTGTTTGCGACTCGTTTTGCGTTTTAAAATGTAGAGAACTGTGATAGATGTTATTCTCCAAATTTGTATAATATAAACGAATGAAAGCTTGGATGTCATCACTCATTCATATATATATATATTGAAGTCTTACAGCCTTGAAAACATTTGGAACGCATACGTTAATCAAGACTATCTTGCCCTATATTTTGACATCAACTTCTGTACACAGGAAGGATGATATTTGGAAGAAGAGACTTGTCGGTAAGGAAACTTGTATTAACATATGCATAGAGATGTTATTGGCATCATACAACAATACTGGAGGGGATCAAGCACTGAATCCGTTATGAAGAGAGCTCCAAGGACTGTTCGGGACAGTGGGACAAGCCTGCATTGCTGCCTCCTCCATCTGTTCCATCTGAATCCCAGCGTTGCACATGTTTGCAATGGACCTCATGTGCTTGAATCCGTACTGAGACAATGATCCACAGTGCCACTCAAAAGCCCTCACCTATCAAGATTTGTTCATCACAAGAAGCTTAAACATCAAAAACAGTATGTAGTGAGTACTGAAAGTGAGATTATTCAGAAGCGTACAAGTGTTTTAAGGCAGTCCCAGTCGTCGACAAGCGGCATTCCAGCAGGCCTAACTTTGTTTAGCACGGCAGGACCTTCTGAAATGCCAAACAAGAGTTTCCCAGTTAATAGAACGCTATTGTCGACGTGAAGCCTGTGAGACATTGCTTCAAGGACTTGCTTCTGAGCTTGGGCTTTTCTTGTAGAACCTTCTGGTGCTTTTCGATACTACACGGAACAATAACTTGATACATTCAAGTAATCATATGCAATATCAAAAATAAAAGTACAAAAGAACAAGTTAAAAAAACCTTCTCCCAGAAATGGACAAGATCCGCATCACGCTGGTTTGTAAATCTTGGAAGTGGCCGGAGTGAATTTTCATCCACAAAGGTGGCGTTTTCATTGTCTGGGTTTGTGCCAAAAAATAAAGGACGAGCTTCTCCTTGCTTAGTCCTATATCTCCAAACTCCATGACATGAGAGCCATAAGACGAAGCAGTTGCTGCAGTCCTCTTCTTCACCTGAAAAAATTAGTACCGTTTTGACGCATGTTATTCACTGAAAGTCTCAATGAATCCACAATATAAACATGAAGCTTACCAGTTCATATTGCTGGTGCAAACTCTCTGTCTTTAAATTATGTTTATCACTATTGCATTGTAAACAAAGAAAAACAGACGAATAAGAATCCTATACACCATATTTTACATTTGTCATATCATGATAGTAGACTAGCTACATACCTATCTTCCATCCAGGCAACACTGTATAAGTCGCCTAAACAGGTCTCATACTCGGACGGTACACTCGTATCCTCTCCAGGACAATAAGTACCCCAGCTGCTTTCTTCTGCATTTGATGCAGTTGTCGCGTAAATGTTTAAACCTTCTGGTAAAAGACCTTCGAAAATGCTTCCAGATTCACAAGCCTCAAGATAAAACACCTGCAAAATCAAAACAAAAAACTCAAGCTAATATCACAGGCACCTGAAAAAAAGAAAGCTTTTTCAGAAGACTCTTGACATTGTACCAAGCTCTTATAGGTTCCAGAAGCATGTTTTTTCTTCAATACATGGTTTAGATCGTTTGCATATAGAGACGGAGAAGTTGGCATCCCTACAAACAACCATGGAGACTTCAATCATCAAACTTTATTATCCACATATCACCTTCGTTGGTTTAACATGAGAAACAAAACAAGTAGGTAGAACTCACCAAGCACTCCCGGGCCACCATGATCACTATAGTATATGAAGATATGATCGTTTGGACCACTATCTACAACCTTACCACTTCCTCCTTTAAGAGCTGTTTTATTTCCAAGAATCACAGAAAACAGATTACCAACGTTAACTTCATCTCCAGTGTAATCCTGCCACAAGCAGAACCAAAACAATTAACTCAATGGATCCACAATATAACTACATATCTAAAAACGAGAAAAAACAACCTTGGGAACTCCATTATAAACATCATCTCTGTTAGGATCTTAACTTCGAATCACACATAGACATGTTGATTCTTCATGGTTTAAACACAAACTTAAAAGTAACTTTGACACCAAGATTTAACGAGTTCCCCTTATCAAGGGTACATCTCGTGTGGGAACCTCCTCCCACAAACATCCACTATCTTATCAAAGGTTTACACAACGCTCTTAACCAGCGCTTCTTTGTGTTTCAGATACAAGGGTTAAAGAGAAACAATAACAAAGACAATGAGAAGAACATTAAAGGTGGAGACACGAACTCCCACTTTCTATGGAGATCATCTTCTTCTCTCTTTGATATTCTCTTGCTCTCTTCACTCTGAAGATTCCTTAACTCTCGTGCCATTACGGCACCCTGCCGTGAACCTCAATTAGGTTAGCTTACTTGAACTTCTTCTGCCTTCTTATATACGCAAAGAACGTTGCCGACTTGGATTAGCTAATGGGCTGCATCATATTGTGATCCATTCTTGATTTGGGCCAAGAGATTAAATGACAGAGGCCCATAACTTACAATCTCCACCTTGGGCCTAGTCCATTTATCCATTGTCTCTCTTCTGATCACGACATTCTACCATGTCTTAACACAGACCAAACTGAGCTTCTTTCTTCACGGCAAAAAAAAAAAAAAAACGAAGCAATTCCTCATACTTCATGTCCTCCGGCAGATTCTCCGACGAGACTGACCGCAGCCTCTACCAGCGACGTTTCTCTTTCTCCGGTCGCATGCAATTGAATCTTCTTAGATTGCAAAACCAAACCTCCTTGTCGTGGCCTCAATCTCCTGTGGTAATCAAGTATACAAAATCACCAATGAAACTTCCAAAACCAGTTCCATAAAGATTCTTCCTTGATGTGATTTTGTTTCCATCCTTATAACTTCGACGAGGTATCTCATGGTGCAGATTAATACACCCTCTCTGCTGCTCATCTCTGGTGACCATTGATGCTCTGAAACTTCACCATTAAAGGTACAAACCCTTTCCTTAAGCTTCTTCTGATGATCGTGACATAGATCGATCTCCTGCCATATGTCACGCCACTTCTGTTACTCTCGACCTTGAGAGACCACCAAACTTGAGATCTTTTCCTATAGCCAACCTGATGCATCTCAACCCAGCTGTGATTCCTGCTTGAATCAGTGCTGATAATAATTTTGTTTCCCTTTGATCTTTCAGATAGTGAAGTCCGGATGTAATTTTAACTACCCATCACATCTTCCAATGTCAATCTCCGACACTGCTGGCTTCTGCAGTCTCAGGTAACCCATAAACAACTCATGTCTGTCTCTTTTTCATGACTATCTCGAGCATTGTATTCTTCTGAGCTTTCCTGCTGTAATACATTATGACACCATTTACTGATATTCAGATTTCTGGCTCTACACTTATGAATAACTCATCCGACTCCTTTGCTTACTTGTGGTAAACCTTTGAACCATAAATCATTCATCCTAGCCATTTTGCTTTTCTGATTATCATATAACCTGTGAGAAAGAACCTTAATTCAGTCTCATGGTTTCTTCCACATGTACTCCACCTGAAACCATTGATCCCAATTCTTTTTCAAGGCTGCACTTCCGAGAAGAGCATAATCTTCTTGTACATGTCTGGTAACTTCATATTATTCTCCAACCCTTGGACAAAAATGAAGAAATAAATCCATACTTCCATGTTCTTCAAATGTCTCGTTGACCTCAGGTAACTTCATAAAACTTCAGCTATGTCTCTTATGATTTTCCCAGGCCAATAGCGGTTCATTTGACGTGAAACTTTCCCAAAAAAAACTTTAACTTTTGATTTTCTCTGATGTCATATTCTTCTGAAAAAAAAATCTTCTCATCTCATGGTGTCTTTATGTAACCTTACAGAACCTGAAACGAACACTCTTGACTTGTTCCTTTGGATTCAATAGCATATTGTGAAGTATTAACCTGCTTCACTTGAATCTTTTCATCAGCTGCTCCACCTGGAATCAAGTTTACCTCACCATGGCTCCGGATGCCTAAGAGGTAACTTCTCAATCCTGTAGACACTGATTTCACTTGGAATAACCAATCACTCAACCTTTTCATGATTTCAGTTACTGCCATAAATATAAGTAATTAAATTTTTCCTAGCCCTCTGCATTTTGATTCCCTTTGTTACCCTTTGATTCTCTTGATGTGCGCTTATCTTTAGAATCAGAAAACCCTTGAATCAACTGCAGTAGACCCTTGAACCATACATGTTTCAATAAGAAACAATCTTTGATTCACCTTGCAAAACAATCTCTAAAATGCATCTTAGTCAATGACCAATGCATTTAGAAAACCTGAGATCGAACTCGCTGCCTTTTGTTTGAACAACCATAAACTGAATTATTTCTTGTGCCGCCACCGTCACTGATAGAACACGCCTCCAAACTAAAACCTGTAGGGAATACTTTCGACACAACCAACCATTCAGCTTGTAAAGTTCAAACAAAACCCGTTTACCAGTAGATCATCACTACTAGACAAGAAACAACCACAACCCTGAATATTTCTTGTACCGCCATCATCACTGATGGAACACGCCTCCAAACTGAACCTGTAGGGAAGACTTTCGACACAACCGTCCATTCCGCAGTAGATCATCACCACTAGCAAATAAATATTAGTCTCTTGTCAATGGCTGAACCATGACACCTGAAACTTCCTCAATACAGCCACTTTCTATCACATCTTAAGCTTGCGACAGACTTTCTTTAACTGTAAAACCTGTTCCACAATACATGATGCTTGTATCTGTGAATCCACCAAAAAACAAACAGTTTGGTGCTTGCATCACAACAATCTTTGGACTTCCAGTAGAACCCCTTCTGATTCATCCTTCTGATTCATCAATACCCTATGACATGTCCTTGAATTGATGTATCCTCACGTGAGTTTCATTCACTTTCGTTCTCTGAAAAAATCTCCTTAATTTTCTTCTTGTGATGCCAAAAGAAACCAAGTCTAGCTTTACTTGTTTCTTACTACCAATGCATAACATCAAATCATGCATTTACATCTTTTCTTAGATGTCTAGATTCTAGAACACACTCAGCTCCTCTTGTATACCTTTGCAATTGCTTTTCCTGAGAAGCTGTCCACATACTTACCCTGATGCAAACCGATATAACCAACTCTTCCACTAGCTGTTAGCTGCAACTGCAGAACTCAAACCGCATTTGTCTTTTTGCATAGTGTTCTTTTATAGAATCTTTCTCCTCGTTGCTTCTATAAACTTGATGAAGATCATGTCTAACTTGACAATATGAGCAGCATCTCATAACCCTTGATGTGACTGACCTTGAGCCCAAATTCTGCTAAGAACCTGAAGTTTGTCTCTGTCAGTTCAGCTGTTTACTAGTCACGTAAACATTTCATCTTCTTTACCCAAGCTTAAATATTTAGTAGTACGTACTGATCTTGTATCCAGCAACCTGTCTTTCCTAGTGAACTATTTTTTTCCTTGTTCACTCATTCATCATTCTTGGATTCCTATGCACACACTCCCGCCATGAGCTTTGTATATCTCAGTGAATGATCCACGGTTGAACTCCCATTCTTTGAATATTACTCAAACAACTCAGATCAAACATGCTTGTTAATCTCAGAACAATTTCTTAATACACACACTACCCTTGAAACTATCACATAGCTCCACCTGGACCATGATAATATAAGAAACGTCTCTTATATGCTCAGCAGCTCCATCTCTTGAGTTTAACCAATTCACTGTCCAAAATTTACTACTCATCGAACTTGTGTAAAATTGATAACCTTAGTGTGACTTGAGAAACCAGGACCTGTGTCAGCTATTTAGACATCCCGCTCAATGTGCACACACTAATTAACATCTCTTCCAAAGAGAACCACCAAGAACTTTTCTACCATTTAAGTATTTCGAAAATCTGCTTTCCATCCTCAGATTTGGCCCTTTTAGATTTTACTCTAAACTCCCTTGAACTCTTTCTTGATAGTATTATCCGCCTATCAGACCTCGTGCAATATCTCACTTGCTCTACTTTGATTTACGTAACACTTAACATGTTTCACCTTGTGGACTAGTGAAATAAAAATCCTTGATGCATCTAAAGTAGTAAAAACTGAGATCTTGAGTTCATACAACATCCAAAAATACTTCATTGATTTGTAGCCTTTAGCTACTAATTGACTTCCTGTAGCCTTCCTTATGGTAGCACCTCTGCTAATTTCCCGTTAGCAAATTTTTTCTGCCAAGTCACCTTCTGAAACTTCTTGTTGATATACTTGTAACTCATGCTTGAGTATTTTACAATTATTCCCATTGCCTCACGTGTAAGAAAACCTTTTGCTGTTCCCACAAGTAGAACTTGTTACAACAAAACCATTGCATTGTCGACAAGCAATTTCTGATTCTTCTCCATCAGATTCTTCTTGAGGCGTCCTTTCAACGTTGTTTCCACTTGACTTCTTAATACTGAGACTTATTATCCTTCTTGTTGTCTTCTCCAAATCTCTCCCATAAAACCTGAAATCTTCAGATTATGAACACTGTCTGCCGTCTCTTTCTCAGAATCCACGAAACCCTTAACATATATCAGACCAGCTAGTTACACGAATAGAGATCTAGGAACTAAGGCGTCCCCTAGTCCTAATCACTCCATTCTCCACAGCTGCTTTTGATATACTTGAACACCATCTGTATCAGTCCTTTTACCATCATACTTCATAAAGAATTATCCTAGAAAACCAGCGCTGTATCTTGATCAAATTCTTCTGTAAAAACTTGCATACAGATCTTGTGTTCAAACCAGATTTAACCTTCTAGAATTGCAGAACAAAGTCTCATTGACAAATCGTCAACATGTTCATCACAAAGCTCTTTTGTGATCGCAGCGGAAATAGATAAACTCTCTTCTAGACTTGAGACATGAAGTTGATTTATTTGAAAAAGACCTAGACCTTTAGCCAACGGCTCTTAGTCTGTCTTTACCATAAACCAATCTTGTGATATCCTCCATCACAAAAATAACAAAACCAGTCTCACGGTTTGTTGGTTAGTTGCAGGACAGAACCTTCCTTTTTCCTTGAGCTTGTGTACCTCTCCTGAACCATGAATACCTTACCCAAGCTCTGATACCACTTGTTAGGATCTTAACTTCGAATCACACATAGACATGTTGATTCTTCATGGTTTAAACACAAACTTAAAAGTAACTTTGACACCAAGATTTAACGAGTTCCCCTTATCAAGGGTACATCTCGTGTGGGAACCTCCTCCCACAAACATCCACTATCTTATCAAAGGTTTACACAACGCTCTTAACCAGCGCTTCTTTGTGTTTCAGATACAAGGGTTAAAGAGAAACAATAACAAAGACAATGAGAAGAACATTAAAGGTGGAGACACGAACTCCCACTTTCTATGGAGATCATCTTCTTCTCTCTTTGATATTCTCTTGCTCTCTTCACTCTGAAGATTCCTTAACTCTCGTGCCATTACGGCACCCTGCCGTGAACCTCAATTAGGTTAGCTTACTTGAACTTCTTCTGCCTTCTTATATACGCAAAGAACGTTGCCGACTTGGATTAGCTAATGGGCTGCATCATATTGTGATCCATTCTTGATTTGGGCCAAGAGATTAAATGACAGAGGCCCATAACTTACAATCTCCGTTAGGACTGTTAATAATGATTCCAGGTCTTGGGTTCTCTTTGTTCTTTGCGATGTCATCAAACATGAACACTACAATATTCTCTTCTTTCACTCCACCTTTTCTCAGGAGCTGATACGCATGACAAACATCCGCCTGAAAATTTTGAAGAAAAAAAAACGCATTAGTCTCTACTAAACTAAAACTTACAAAAGCTTCATACTTTCCAAAAAAGACTCACAACATTAAACAAAACTATGAACAACACATGCACGAACTGTACGGGTTAGCTCTCAAGTGACCCGCATGCCGAATCTGCACACAGTGGAAGCGAACCTAAGGCTATAGCGAGTTCAGGCCATTAGTCTAAGATACATTAACGCCACATGCAAGTTTAACTGTAGCTCAAATCAAAAGGAACTTGTAAAAATATTCCATCCTAATTGTTATAATAATCAAGAATAAAAGCTTTTCAAGAAAAACGTGCCGCGAATATCAAGAAATGATTGATGTTAGAAGATATCGTACACATAAAAAGCTAACCTAAAGAACAAGAACTTCGATATCATCAAGAGAGAGTCGTGATCGATACCTGATGCCTGTAGTTCCAGTATCCTCTAGACCCGGCGACGAGAACGGCCCACTTAGTACCGGCGGAAGAATTATCGCCGTCGTGGAAGAACTTAGAAGCTTGAGAAGGTAATCTGATGACGTCACAAGAAACCGTGACTAGCGAGAGGAAGAGAGCGAGAAAAGAAACGATGGTGGAGACAGGAGTCATGTTTTTGAGTCTACGGCGAAGGGGGTGACGTGGGTTAGAATCTTTGGATGAGACGGGGCCTCTGCTATTTATATATAATTATTCAATGAATCTTTCTTGATTGCAAAATAACGTTTGCCCATTACTTTGTTTATTGAAACACGCAAGTTAAGTAAATTATTTTGTTGATTTACAGATGTTCTGTTTAAAATATTTTCTGTTATAAATTTCTATACGTTAAAGCAAATGTCACGAGAAACCCAAAATTTCACAAATTATTATTTTTAAAACAATCAGATTGTTTAGAGTGATATTACGGTGCAATCCAACTATAACACCCATGTACATGGTTTTGTTGAAATTATGTACTACTCCCCCCAAGAACTCTATGAAACGGACCTCTAAATATAAGGGCTCTGGAGCTCGCATTTTAATATATTTTCACAGGTCAGGACGCGGGAGTTTCCAAACCAATATCGAAATTAGGACGATGGTTGTTTCTATAACAAGGACAGAGCAACGAGGTTTTGCTATAAGAGGGTATTCCCAACTAAACTTCAGCAAGTTAATATCTAACACATAAGTCGGATAAAAACCATTTTTAAGTTAATCTAACACATTAGTCGGATAAAAATCATTTAATTTGTTATTGGTTCGATCTCTACTCGAGAAAACATCTTTCTTTTGTTCATCATCCTTTTTATCAAAATCTTCTGTAAGAATAGCCGGCCCTTGCGATAGTTAAATCGTCTCGAATGCATCCCTCTTCCTAAAATTTCTTGTGCCCTCTTTAACACCCACCTTTTTTTAATCCTAGATGCTTACGGCACTCTACTTAACCTATCTTGTATTACACCTTATCTCATCTAAACATCTACACGTTTTTAATTCATTATCCAATCAAATTTTTTTTACAAATCTATTTTAAAACATTTTTAAGAGAGACAAAAAGAAAGAATGAAAAAAAAAAAAAAAAAAAAAAAAAAAAAAAAAAAAAAAAAAAAAAAAAAAAAAAAAAAAAAAAAAAAGAAAGAATGAAAATAACTGAAACCTCTTGAAAAGCCAGTACCACACTGAACTTGTTCCTTCAGCTTTGCCGAAGGCTCCTCGATCTCATCTAAAAGAGGAGATGGATGAATAGTTTGAATTACCGTGTTAAAATGAATCCTGAGGATCCACATAGGGGAAGGCAAGAACACCGAACCGACTCAAACGAATCTAAACCGAATCAAACATGACATAATTACCTGAACGGGTCTTGTTCTACAGTTTTTTTGGGTTTCTTGGTTTTGTACCAACCGGACTTGAATCTGAATAAGTACCCAAAAACCCCCCCCCCCCCCCCCCCTGCCAAAAAAAAACACATGACCTCAATCTTAAATAAATACCCAAAAAGTTACAGATTCAAGTAATACCTAAAATAAGTATCTAAAACAAAAATAAATAACTCAAATACTCAGTTAATTTTTAATGTATGATTTTATAGTTATCTTGCTTCTTTTTAAGCAGCAAATTTAACAAAGAAAAAACACACATACTAAAAGAGCGACGAGTCAGTTGACAAAACCCTAGTCAAAGTTACATTAGAGCATGTTTATAGGGAAATAAGATGTGGAGTCCCATAAAAAAGTGGGACCCATTTTTCTTGTTGTTTGCTGATTTTCTTTTTTTTTTAAAGAAAAATAATCAATCGTGGGCCGTCACGTGTTCTACGAGACCCGCGCGAATAGTACAAGAAATGTCTCTTAATTAGGTTACCAAAAGAGCGGCCCTTAATTTTTGATGGGACCCGTGAATTTTAAACTATTTTTTTGGGGTTCCTAGATTAAGGAACCCCCTATAAACATGCTCTTGGATTGCATTACGTAATGAGAATCCGCGTGTAGGAAAATTTCTTGAGACATATAACCTTTTACATAGCCAAAAAATCTTAATGCAACAACTCAGGGATCATGAAGTGTTTTGCATTTAGTGGGAGAGTATATAAACCGCATAACACAGTTATGGACTTGCGAACGTTAGATAGATCTGTCTATCAACTAGTCGATGATATGCATGTAGGGAAGAAATCGTGGTCCATCCGCTAGCGCAAGCTTATGATTATGATTGGACTTCATCGGGGCCAAAGAGGCTTAGAGTAGAGACTGTCCTGAAATTTTGGGGGTTCTATTCGAAAAAATATTTATTAATTATTTAATATTTTCATAAGTTTTACAAGTATTTTTCATAATATGTATTATATCTTTTACTTTATCTAAATTATATTATAAAATTAATCTAATATATTTTTCATTTTTCTAAACTAAATATTTTATTTACGTTTTATTTACAGTTAGTATTTATATTTTTTATACCTACAACTTAACTAAGCAAACACTGATGTTGACCAAAAAAAAACTAAGCAAACATACACATTATTATTAAGATCATATCATTTTGTTCTTGAGTGTGTATAATCGTGAGTCTTTAATAAAACTTAATTACAATTCAAAGTTATGAGTAAATGCTGCATCTTCCCTCTACGTAGGATTCTAGAAATTATCAACATGAAGTTTATTTGTAGATTAGTGTGTATTAGTACATTTATCTCTCTCTCCTCTTCTTTTTTGCTAGTCTCCCTCTGCACTCTTCTTTCTACATACATACATGATTTTTTTTTGATTTTTTTACTCGGTGGGACACTTTACCACTTTGCAATTACACATCAAGACACACAGTGCTTGAGACACACTTTTGCCTATCAAAAAGACATAAATGACCTTAACCTAAATTAAACAGAACGGACAAACCTATTTCCAGTTGCTGTTCAACAAAATTCTTACGCCGCTTAAAATTGAGATACTTTCTCCTCTTGTCTTCAATCTGATAAATTTCAGCAGAGATTTTAACTTTCAAACAGCATGGACATCTCTTCATTTGAAGAATCCCGAAATCTAAGGTCAGTTTCATAATTTTTTTTTCTCTAAAGATCAATCCAAGTTTTATAATTCTGACATATATGAAATTTAGAGTTTTGTTTTCAGGTTCAATAGGCTGTGGAAGGCATGGAAACAAAGGAGATCTTGTGATTGTTGGTTGATGTGTCGTATATAGGTTGATTTAGTGATTGTGGATCATGGTTCATATAAGAGGTGATGAATTTCTAGGTTGTTTGGGTGATCTTTAGTGGATGAATGATTTAGTATTTTAAAAAAAGGAGTTATTGTACTTGTCGATAAAGATGGAACTTAGGATTCGTGGATGACTGAGTTGTGTTCCCTCAAGATGTGTTCGGATGTTTGATGGATTTCAGGACTGTTTGGGTGATCTTTAGTGGATGGGGGATTTAGTTCGCTTAGAAAAAGGAGTTGTTGTGCTTGTTGATAGGCATGGGCAGAAAATAACTATACCGAAGAACCGCTCCGGTTGGCACCCGGTTAAGCAAGTACCGGTTCGGATTGGGTTATGCTGAAATCACTGACTGGGCCTCGAATCCAAGTTACTATGGACCTCGGTTCGGATCGGGTTTTAGTGTAAGTTACTATGGGCCTCCGTTAGGCCCTTTACCCTTTAGGGTTAGTGGTTGAGAGAGTCGAGACACGAGTTCTTCTCTTGTTCCCAATACAGAACCGTCGACGGCGATTCTTGCTTTTCTCTTCGTCTCCTTCACTAGGTGCATGCTTTGTCTAATGCAATTGAATACCACTTGCTTTTCGATTCGTATTTCTCCATGGAAGTTCTATATAAACCCCTCTTTCCCCATGGAAAGAACCATATCCAAAGTTCCAAACTTCTCAATTCGTATTCTTCATCGTCTCCTCTTTCTCTAATCTCTGCAGTCTGCAATTCAATCACAGGTTCGTATTACAATCTCTTATACTTTCTGTAATTCGATTATGGATAGTATCCAAATAGTAGATTGATTAATCTTAGTATTTTATGGTTTTTTGTTCTTCTCTTAGCTTGATTTGATTCTTAGTTACTGATCAAATATTGTATGTGTGTGTTCAGATGGGTTCCTCATGCTTTCCAGATAAAGACGACGTTGAAGAAGTTATGAATCTTGCTGAAGAGAATGCCAATGACAATGGACAAGAAGCTGATGAAAGTATAGAAGTTGTTCCAACTCCTGAATCAGGAAAAGAAAAAGATTCCCCAGAATCAAGTACAACTAATGGAAAGCCATCTAAAGAGCTCAAAGTCATCCTTCCAAGATCTCATGTGTGGGATCACTTCACCAGGACTAAAGAAGACAGAAACAAGTGTTTTTGACACTATTGCAAGAAGTCATACGGCTGTAAGTCTAAGTTAGGGACCAAGCATTTGGAAGCATGCAAAGAATACCATGCTTATAAGGAAAACAAGTCTCAGAAAGTGATCAAAGGAAATGGAACAATGCAAGCTGCAAAGATAAGTGAGCCTATGTTCAGAGAGGCAACAAATGAGATGTTGGTGTTAGGCGAGTTGCCACTGTCTTTTGTGGAAACTATTGCCTGAAGACACTTCTCTTCTCGAGTCAACCACTACCGGCCTCATTCAAGGAGATCAGCAAGCAGAGACATCGTGTAAATGTATGTGAAGAAGAAGGCTTTGCTGAAGAGCTGGATTAACTCAAACAAGCAAAGGGTGTCTCTAACTACAGATATATGGGTTGCTCCAAATACAGGTTTGTTTTCATTTCTTTCTCATTTTATCTGATTTAATTATGTTAGTGTAGTAGCATATCTGATAATTATTTGCTATTTATTTTTTATAAAACAGGTGCAAGCTACACGGTGATCACAACTCACTTCATCGATGCATTTTGGATGCTCAAGAAACTGATCATCGGCTTTAAGTATGTCTCAGATCACAAAGCATCAACAATTGCTAGTACTCTACTCGAATGTATGGCTGAGTGGGAGATTAAGAAGGTCTTTTGTGTCACTGTGGACAATGCAACAGCCAACACTTTGGCTCTGAAGAAGTTTCAAAGAGATTTTGGCTTGGTCAGCAATGAAGCATTTGTGTTAGATGGAGACTACATGCATATCAGATGCAGT